ACCAGTGACTGATGGAAGCAGAGGCAGACACCCACAGCTAAACATGAACTGAACTCCGGGAACCCAGTGACAGAAAGGGAGGACTGATGAGCAAAGGGGTCAAGACTGGGCTTGTTTAACCCACAGAAACAGCTGACCTGAACAAAGGGGAGCTCTTGGACCTCAGACTGGTGGCTGGGAGGACAGCATGGGACTGATCCAGACGCCCTGAATGTGGGTGTCAGTGAGGAGGCCTAGGCAATCTACGGGGCCTTGGGTAGTAGATCCGTATTTATCCCTGGCATAAAAATGGGCTTTGGGTGCCCATCCCACAATGAGGGATGATCTTTCAACTTGGACTCTTGGGGGGGAGGGCCTAGGCCCCGCCCTGAATGAAATGACAGACTCTGGATTTCCACCATGGAGGGCCTCACCCTCCCTGGGGAATGGGAGTGGAGATTGGGTCAGGGACTGGGAGGGCTGGGAGGGGAGGGAGAGGTAGCTGGGATTGACATGTGAAGCAACCTTGTTTCTAATTTAAATACAAAAAAAATCTTTAATAAAAATTCAAGGCAGAAGAAAAGAAGAAAGAAAAAAAAGAATTGAGATCCTTGGGCTAGCAAGACAGCTCAGGGGCTAAAGGCATTTTGCCTCACAAACTTGATAACCTCACCCAGATCCCAGGATCCCAGAGTAGGAGAAGGCTTATGTCTGGAAGTTGGTCTTTGATCTCACATGTACACTGGGAGCATGCGTGTGCGCGTGTGCATACACATACACACACACCATATACACTAGTAAATTCATACATTTAAAATACTTGAACCTCTTGGTCCTATCAAACAATTCTGAAGATTGCTACTTGAGGGAAGGTCGCACCTCAGATAGATCAGGAACACTTATTCCCTCTAACCTGATATCAACCACAGGATTAACCAGGATGGGACCTAGGGAGGGGGCTATTGCTCCTGTTTGATGACTGGAAAAATCACTAGACTTGTTTTCTCCAGCCTTTCTTTTGCCCACCCTAGACCATATTTAGACCTTGGAAGAAAGAGCTGCTCTGCCCTCTTCAACAGTCTCATCTCAGGTACCACCAAACCTGATGTTCCCGCCCCCTGTGGTGCCCTATGCCCTCAAATCATCTATTTTTTCAAAATTTCCCAAATGTGGGGATCTAAATTTGGCTGAGTTACTTACTGCCTCTGTGAATTTGGAAATTTTCAACTATCCAAGGCTCTATCTGTAAAGCAGGGAATGTGGGGGGATGGGGTGGGAGGGTGGGGGTGAGGATGAGGTATCTCTAGTAAATTTAACCTGAAAATTAAACATTTTTTAAAGGCTCAGTGTCTATCACAGAGCCTGACATTCCATATCTCATGTACACAGCAGCTTCTTGCTACTTTGATTTGAAAGAGCTGAGCACTTTGTACTTCTTAGATGACATAAACACATCATCTCTTACAGTAAATAGTCACTAGAGATGAATTACAATTTTAAACAAGCCAGTTCATATACTCCCAAAAAATCTTCAAAGAATTCTATATTTCCTAATATCAGCATGCAAATCACCTGACCCTATCCTACCCTAACTATAATTGTTTAACAGGCTCAAAACCCAAACATAGCAAGGTATGGCTGCACACACCATTAATCCCAGCATTTAAGCAGGCAATTGTTGGTCAGTTCAAGGCCAGCCTGAAATACACAGCAAGTTCCAGGACAGCTGGGGCTATATTGAGACCTGTCTCAAAAAACAAACAACAAAAACAAAAAAGACCATACCTAAGTCCATCAAAAAACCCCACACAATTAAAAAAATAAAAACACATAATTATAAAACTGACAATACTTCTAGGATAAATTATCATTAAAATTTGAAATATACTGAAGTCAGTGGATTATTAGACTAAAAAAAAGGACACAAACTTGGGGAGTAGATAGCAAGATGGAGGGCATTAAGGGAAGGATTTGAGTGAATATGATCAAAATATATTCTTTGAAATTCTTAAAAAATGAATAAAATGTCTTTTAAAAAAGAAAGGAAACCTGAGAAAATAAAATATTGACATTGATTTTACTTGGTGTTCTAAAGAACCACAGTCTCTCTTTGATATTAAAAATAGAGGCTCATTCACCGTTACTTCAGAGTTGGGCATTCTGTGCTGTCAGCTAATATGAAAGCACCTGCACACACACACACACACACACACACACACACACACACACACACACACACACAACTCACATTTGAATTTTTATAGGCAGTAAATAGAGACTAAAAGTAACAGTGAAAATTATGTCAAGGTTAAAGGCCCATTCTGCCCTCTGCTTTCAGGTCTGAGAATCCTAGAACTGGTTCCGAGTTGTGAAACTGGAGTATGTCCCCAGCCAGAGTGGCAAACTTAATGCGTCATTAATCAGGTCTGCTCTCAGCCGCCAACTGCAATAGTCACAGCCATTCGGTTTTTAAGGAAAAGACAGTGCTCCAGAAGTGCATTGTGGAGGTCTTTTCATAAAAACCATCCCGTGTGCTCCATCTGCATGTGCAATCTGCTTGTGGATTTTCAGCCAGCTTGCATGGACAGATTAATGTGTACAATTAGAAAGCAACCTCACAGGCATTCAATAAACTGCCTTCATTATTATACTCAGGAGAGTGCCTTTGGTTGTCAATAAAAGCCTAGTTTTCTGCCTGTTAGCTAAATAATTGACAACACTAAAAATAATCAGAAGCAAATGAACAGAGTCAGGAGCTAGGTGGGAAGAAGGAACACCGAGCTCTGGGGGGGACCTGGGGCGGCCATGGCGCGTCTCTTCTCCATTTCTCCAGCCGCTGGATTTACAGTCCGCTCTATTCCGCCACTGCCCTTCTCAACAGAAAAAGCCCACTGCTCCTGCTCTGCTGTTCGCACCACCCATCACAGCATGCTGCACCCGGCAAGGTATCGACTCCTTTGAAAGAACTGCTTATTTGGTTTCTATTTTGTGTTCCTTCGCCTGACAGCAACAAAAGAATCTCATTCGGGCGTGGGAGGCAGAGGGTCTGGTTGAGGTTTGGTGAAGTCTTTGCACTGTTAGGAATCTGTCAGCTGTGCTAGACTTTTCCTTCTCTGTAAACTGGTTCTAGGAAAAATCAAGACAGACCTTTCTGTGGAGGATTCATCTCTTTTAAGAAGTTCCTCTCGTACTTCCATATATATATATTTATATATATATATATATATATATATATATGTATATATATATATATATATCATTCTTTTCTTCAGGTATTGGTCTCCTTCATTTCAAGAGTAACTCAAAACACAATGTTCTTAAAAGAAAAAAAAAACCTTCCGTATCCATACTTCTTGTGTTTCTCAATAGGCTTATAAAATCAATTTGAGGTACTTCTTGGATTTTTTTTCCAGCTTCCCTCTTTTCCTGGCTAACCGGCACTTTCACGATAAGCAGGACTGAAATGTGCATGTAATTGAATTCATCTCCGCCCATCGTGTGCGCAGTGGCTGGGAGCAAGGCCTCCTTTTCTTCTCTACATTAAAGGGTGACTGATCTTTAGCATTTAGTAAAACACAAACTCACAGCGCCGGGGGAGTTTGAAAAGATAGGAGGCCGGGTAGAACAGCCTCCAACCTTTGAAAACTCTAAGAATCTCTTGCCCCTCTTGCCCTGTCTCAAACTCACCGAGGGCAAACTGAAGTCCTTCAGCTTCCAAGCCCTGACCCTAACTTGGTAAGGGGCGATGCACAGGGGTGGTAGCTTGGCTTTCTGTTCTTACTGCTGAGTCTGCGCACCACTCAAGACAGACGCAGGCTGAGCCCAATGCTCTAATAACTCTAGAGACGCCAGACTTAGAAAGGATGCACATCCTGAAATGCCACACCCATGAGCAGTTTGACATCTGAGAGATCCCTGAGCAAGGGCAAGCATAGGCAGAGAGAACTGGAAGCACTCGGGGAATGCTCTGTATGATGGTGAGAGTCTAGTTACTGACACTGCCTTATTGACTCTAGCAAATGAATTTGCACAGTTCCATATAACGAGGATTCCTGTAAGAAATTCCACCCCAAGTCCCAGAATATCCAGGCACTTTTAAGCCATTTAGGAATTTCCTTTAATCCTTATAATTGGCCTATTGGACAGATATGATCACCCTTATTCTGAAGATGAAGATCAAACCAACAAAACACTCAGGTTCAAGGTTTTGCTCAAGGTCAGAGCTAAGATCTGGAAGCCTTGTCTGCTTGATTCTAACTCTACATTTAGAACTGCATTGTAAAGTGTAGAGTACTTTGCTTTTGCCTTCTTATAATCCATGTTCAGACAACCTAGCTACTAAAAGTTAGGACATGGGTTTCTCTTTAAAGGTTGGAAGAGTACATTTTTGGCATTATCAAAGTATAGTATTAGCATATTAAGTATTATTATTCAGAAATCATACTAGAAAAAGTACCTTGGTTTATAATCATCAATTTGAAATGTCAAAATAATTAATAAATGATACCTCAATTCTTGGCTAGAAAAAATACAATAGGCTTGGGTGTGGTGTACTTGGGAGGCAGAGACAGATGGATCTCTATGAGTCTGAGGACAGCCTGATCTACAGAGTGAGATCCAGAACAACCAGGTATACACAGAGAAACCCTGTCTTGAAAAACAAACAAACAAAGTAAAACAGCCCTCAACCCAAAAAAATAATACCACTTAGTTTAGATGTCCCTTGGATATTTCACCTCAAACACCAACCTCCTCACACAATGCCCTTGAGATCAGCATAATCAGAAGTATCCAACTTCTTTACAGAGACAAATTTGCCCAATTGAGTCAGATTACTGCTCATCAGCTGACTACTAGGAAACAGTTAGATGAGTAGTATTGTCCCAATCTCCAATTCCCAGAGATGGGAGAACTCCATTGCATGATTAGTATAATGTGCACAACCCCACCTGCCATGTCTGAAAAGTCATCAGTCTTCAGAGTCTGGAATCTGAACAATAAATCTGAGAGCATGAACTTACTTTTGGTGATGCTCCCTGAATGTGTCTCTTCTGAGGGTTTCTTGAAGTTGCCTTTTCTCCTCTAGTCTATTACTCTGAAATTAAAAGGATCAAAATATAATCTGTTATGGATGGCTTAGGAAGAATTATGATGTTTAAGTTATCTCAAACCCCAAATCCTTGGGTTGCACTGGCCCTAGAGATCCTAACATAGTCTCCCTCTCATGAACCATAAACACTACAATGGAGGCCCCATGATCCCCTCAAAACTCCCCTCTCCCAACCCGATGGGCTAAATTGTGCAGAATCAAAGTTTCACATTTTTATTTTGGCTCAAATGATAGAAATATCCATTTTTCAGGAAATGGACTTGTGAAATATTCTGATGGAAATAATAAATTCCACACCAAACATGTTAAATTAAAAACAATAAACCATTAAATAGTTCATACAAAGTGTGTGTGTGTGTGTGTGTGTGTTACTCATTCTACAAAAATATTCAGGAAAAAATTTTCAATAACCCAATACAACTCCCTTCTGACTTAGACACTTAAAGCTGTTGAGAAACTGAGCAGCATATGTCTGAAAAAAGCCATCCACTTGAGTAGAAAGAGTCCTTTTTTAATTAGTTGTCTAGAGCGCCTCCAGAAATGTGACTTCATATTGATATTACTGTCACCATGACTCTGGCACATTTTAACCTGATTTAAATACCAAAACCATTTACTTTTTGCTCCCTGTGACACTACTGTCATTTTTTCATGTGCCTAAAAAAATAGATAACATTCTTAGGCAAAAAAAATATTAATAGGGCATGGAAACAAGTTCTACAACACAGGAGAAAAGAAGTTTAAAGGAGTCCAAAGGAGAGCCAGAATATAGCTGGGTTTTAAAAAAAATGGATTTGCTCAAAGGAAGAGCTATGAAAAAGAACAATAGGAATAATCACTTTTAAACTCTGTTTTGGATCTGTCTCCATCACTGGAAGATGGGGAGCATGAAAGTCTTAATGTACACTGAGATTTCTCATTTTGACAGGCAAGAGAGATGTTTAGATGCTTTCCATGTTAAAAAAAAAAGGAAACAAAACCTGTAGTAAGTTCTCTAGAGTCCAGGAATCAGTTATAAAACAGCAACCAGACTGCTAATGAAGCAGAATTCCAGAAAAGAAATGAAAGGAGAATTTAACCTCAAATAAGTATTATATCTAGATCAAGTCCTGATTAGCAAGCCCTGATTAGGCTGCACTGTGAAGATCTCTCTACATCCCTGGGGTGGAGGCACCAAAATGGTGGAAGTCTGCTAGAAGGCAGAGTGTAAACAGGATTTATTGATTAAACCAAGGTCAGGATCTCTTTAGAGACCAGAGAGAAAGTCACACCAGCATCTAGAAGCAAAAGCTGGCTTTCCTCACGAAGGTCAGAAATGGAGAAAATCCGCTTTAACTTCTTCACTGATAGATTCGGATTCATAACACAGTAGCAGAATTCACCCAGTTAAGGTCTATTAATCTCTCGGCAGAAACCAATGAACAAGTAGTTTGTGAAATGGAGGATGTTTGAGGATTTGAATCCAATGTCTACCATTTTTATATCAGTAGAAATAGTTAGGTTTAGCAAGATCACCCAAACATATTTGCACAGAGACAGACGCAGAAGAAGACTCAGCAAGAACACCACCACTGGCCAAGAGACCTGAATAATAGCACTGACTCACATGTATCCAACAAACATTTATCTAATGCCCTATTATATGAATAAATTATATTATACTATACCATATCATATGAGCAGAGAAGTACCTACCTTTAAAAGGTATAGACAAGAGAGAAATGGAGAAAGTATGTTAAAATATGCCAAAGGAAAGATGCTCACAAATGAAATAATAGTAGCAGTTTCAGAAAGAGATACATAGACATTTGAAGTATGGAGGTTTGGAGGGTTTTTGTTTTTGTTTTTGTTTTTTCATTTGTTGATCTGATTTAGTTTGTTGAGGTCTCAACTTCTTATTTCACTCAATGTAGAAGCCCGAGCCCCACAAAACACTCGACTTGCAAGAACTGTTGATGTCATCAAATGTATAAAAGCAAATACATAGAAACTAAGTAGTAATTTGGGAGAGTAAAAGATGACCCAGAAGGGCTTTTCACAGGTATTATGCTAAAGCAAAAAAATTGTAGGCCTAAAAACAGCCAGAAATCATAGGTTTCACCCTGATCCTCATTCTTCAGCCATCTTTTAACTCTGCCTTTCCTTACATTCACAGCTGTCCCTCTGTTCCCAACCCATGCTCCTCGTGTCTTTGCTTTGGAGAGGTTGGGGTGCAGACTTGGAATCTTCCTGCCTCTGACTCCAAGTGATAGCTGGCATCAGCTATGTGACGGGAACACTTTGACTTTTCAGAAGTGGGTGAGATCTAGAGATTGTGTCCCTAAGTACTTATTAGGGATGTTTTTAATCCATAAATTACACAGCTGTCATTTCCAGTAGTGCAAATCTTTATGTTTAACAGGAAGATGCTAGCTAATTGAGAATAAATCCATAAGAAAATACTGTTATCTTTCTTATGTGCCAGGGTCTCCGGTTGCTCAAGTTGGCTTCAAACTTCCTGGTCTTCTCACGTTACTTCCAAGCACTAGGATTGTAGGCTTGTACCACCATGCCCTCCTTAGGAGAAATTGTTAAACTACTCAAAGTTTTAAAAGCATTTAAGGAATGAGGTAGACAGCATGCTTCCTTAACATGTAATTTCTTACCATTGCTTCTTAGATGTCTTGCTCACTGAGTTATAAGGAATTGTTTTATGTGTGCGCACTCAATGCAATTGAAAAACATTATATGATTTTACAGTTTTGTAATTTGAATAGTTGGCCACAATGCTCTCCCTTTCTTTCGAATTGGAAAAGAAAATTCCTTTGAAAGTCTCTTGAAGTTTGAACAAAAATGAGCATTTTTCCTTCCAGACCATTCTGTAGTCTTACAAATTGAGTTACAAGGGAGACTTCAACATTCTAGGTCTTATGATGTCATCAACACACATGACATTTTTAATTGGTTGTGTGTGTGTGTGTGTGTGTGTGTGTGTGTGTGTAGATAGATGGATGGATGGATGGATAAATAGATAGATAGATAGATATAACATTGTACCAAACAAGTACTAGAAACAGAAGCTAAACTTGACTCACAATAAAAACATGTAAAGGAAGGATCCAGAGGATTCATTTCCTTGGTTTGATGGGCACAGCATCAATGCTTTGTAAAGCAAAAACTATTTTATTTATTTTATATTTAAATTAGAAGCAAGCTTGTTTCACACGTCAGTCCCAGCTCCCTCTCCCTCCCCTCCTCGCCTGTCCCCCTCCACCAGTGCCCCCAGTCCCCCACCCAATCCCCACTCCGTTCCCCAGGGAGTGTAAGGCCCTCCATGGAGGATCTCCAGAGTCTGTAATTTCATTCAGGGTAGTGCCTAGTCCCTCCTCCAAGTGTCCAGGTTGAGAGAGCATCCCTCATTGTAGGATAGTTATGCAAAGTCCATTTGTGTGCCAGGAATATATACTGATCTACTACTCAAAGCCTCATAGATTACCTAGGCCTCCTCACTGACACCCACATTCAGAGGGTCTGGATCAGTCCCATGCTGGCCTCTCATCCATCAGTCTGGGTCCAAGAGTTCCCCCTGGTTCAGGTCAGCTGTTTCTCTGGGTTTCACCAGCCCAGGCTTGACCCCTTTGCTCATCAGTCCTCTCTCTCTGTCACTGGGTTCCAGGAGTTCAGTTCAGTATTTAGCTGTGGGTGTCTGCCTCTGCTTCCATCAGTCATTGGATGAAGTTTCTAGGATGGTATATAAGAGAGTCTTCAAACTCATTATCAGGGAGGGGCATTTAAGGTAGGCTCTTACTATTGCTTAGTTTGCCAGTTGGTGTCATCCTTGTAGATCTCTGGAAATCTCTCTAGTGCTAGATCTCCCTTCAAACCTAGAATGACTCCCTCTATCATGGTATCTCTCATTCTGTTCTGTTATCCTCTATTCTTCCCCCAACTCAACCTTCCTGCTCCCCCATGTCTTCCTCTCCCCTCCTCTTCTCCCCCTCTCTTTTTCCTGGCTCCCTCTCCCCTGCCCCCATGCTCCCAATCTGCTCAGGAGATCTTGCCTCATTCCACCTTTTCTGGAGTACCATGCATATTTCTCTTAGGATCTTTCCTGTTTCCCAGACTTTTTGGTAGTGAGATTGTAGGCTGGCACTCCCCTGATTCATGTCTAAAATCCATATATGAGTGAGTACATGCCATGTTTGTCTTTTTGTGACTGGGTTGCCTCACTCGGGATGGTTTCTTCTAGAGCTGTCCATTTGTCTGCAAGTTTCAAATCCCATTTTTTCCGCTGAGTAGTACTCCATTGTATAAATGTACCACATTTTCTCTGTCAGTTGAGGGGCATCTAGGTTGCTTCCATGTTCTGGCTATTACAAATAATGCTGCTATGAACATAGTGGAACAGACAGACGTCCTTACTGTATGAATGGGCATCTTTTGGGTATATGCCTGAGTGGAACTGCTGGGTCTTGTGGTAGACTGATTCCCATTTTCCTGAGGAATCTCCATACTGATTTCCATAGTGGCTGTACAAGTTGACACTCCCACCTGCTGTGGAGGAGTGTTCCTTTTTCTCCACATCCTCTCCAGCATAAACTGTCATTGGTGTTTTTGATTTTAGCCATTCTGACAGGAGTAAGATGGTATCTCAGAGTTGTTTTTATTTGCATTTCCCTGATTGCTAGGGATGTTGAACACTTTCTTGTCTATCAGTCATTTTAGACTCCTCTATTGAGAATTCTCAATTTAGTTCTGTAGCCCACTTTTTAATTGGATCTTTTGGTGCTTTGGAGACTTGCTTCTTGAGTTCTTTGCAAATTTTGGAGATCAACCCTCTGTCAGATGTGGGGTTAATGAATAACTTTTCCCAATCTGAGGGTTGCCTTCTTGTCTTGTTGACTGTGTCCTTTACCTTGCAGAAGCTTCTCAGTTTCAGTAGGTCCCATTTATTATCGATCTCAGTGTTTGTGCTACTGGTGTTATGTTCAGGAAGCTGTCTCCTG